GACTGTATTTTCGATAGCATTCTTGCATTTTCAGCATTTCCGTATTATTTTATTTTTTCCTTTCTTTTCTTCTTCTTTTTCTTTCTTTGAAATTCGTACTCGACCAGAGTCGAGCACGTAGAAACTAGAATATTTAAGTAGATGATAGCACAGTAGGACGACTCAATCAGAGTGGAAGGATTGAGTTTCCGTAACCTTTGGTTATGGAACGGCGGAGGGGAAGGTGTTATACGCCATGATATTAAAGCTCAAGGCATCTTCTTCTAAATTCTGGGTCCATTGTGTTTAATCTTTTCTCATTCCCTGATGCTTGCTGTATATGGGACGCTGGACCCGGTTTCCCTCAGGTGCTGCTCTCCACCAATAGACTGGAGTCACCAGTTGTACGGCTAGTGGCGGGGGACTCTTATCACCACAACTAGCAGAGCCGACTGATGTTTTGTGTATTTGAAAAAAAAAAGAAAACTTTTTTTTTTTTTTTTTTTTAGTAGTCCATGGTGTTGTAGAGGCCAGTCACTGTGTACACAGTGATCACCTGGAGCAGTAGGCCGTGGGTGTCCTGGAATATGCGACTACCTCCCATCCCATCCTCACATCATTACTCCTAGCGCACCCCCTATCCCACTATCCTACCTCAGTGTGACCAGCACTCAGGACCATTACCCTACCAATGGGCAGGTAACGTGGACTGAATAGCAGTGATAGGCACCAGGGCTGAAAGGTTGCCCAGCCCTGGTGGAAGCGGAATCGGACGAGCCTTGTCGAACGGGAACTTCGGACGCCAGGCCCAGACAATCTRCTACAGGCCCCACGAGACTCTGGGCCCTAGGTTTCAGACAGGGTAGCACCCATTGAAGCAGTCTTACCGTCCTTCCCCTAGCTTACCCAAGGCTGGGCGGAACTCGGACTGGTCTGAGCGACTTATACCCCTACCCTTACCCCAGGGTCTAAGCCTTATATATAGCCACTAGACAGTTCTACCCGAATATCAGTAGGAACTCCGGTGGCCCATACCTGTCCCTACCGCAGATACTATACCCCACCCAGTGACTTGACCCCCCCAGTCTGATAGTTGTGTAGTTCGAAATGTATGTGTATACCCCAAGGCTGTGTATGCTTCGTGTATCTATGTATGAAGATGTACAGACAGCACTATGTGTGGAAACTTGTGTATGTCGCCTGTAGGTCATGTATAAGTCGCAAGCTATGTATATGCCCGAAGGCTGTGTGTGCTCTGTGAATCAATGTATCGAGATGTATGGGCAGCATCATGTGTGTATATCGAAGAGAGAACGGGGTAAGCTGGACAAGGACCCCCCCCAAGATCCAAGCCAAGCTTGAAACC